TTTTGCGAGGGAATAAACTCAATGGCACATTAGACGGATCGACCACTCAATTTCCGTTTCCGAAGCTCCGAATCATTGACCTTTCTAGCAACGAATTCACGGGTCGTTTGCCATCAAATTACTTCAAGAACTTCAAAGCGATGATGGGTATAGATAGATGGGCATCAGGACCGCTTTATATGGGCGGAGACTGGCAGATGTACGAACACACACTCGAGCTCGTGGTAAAAGGAACGAGACTAGAACTAGAAAGAATCCTAGTTGTCTACACCACCGTAGATCTTTCCGTCAACAAATTCGAAGGAGAAATTCCTGACACCATCGGAAAGCTAAGTTCACTTCGGTTCCTGAATCTATCTCACAACAGTCTCACCGGAGAAATTCCGACACTCCTTAGAAATATAACATTTCTAGAATCTTTAGATCTTTCTTGGAACAACATCGTTGGCGAAATCCCTTCACAACTAAGGAGTCTTACGTTCCTTGCAGTCGTAAACTTTTCCCAAAATCAGCTTCGAGGTGTCATTCCTCAAGGTGGACAGTTCAGTACGTTTCTAAACGCTTCATATCAAGGGAACGATGGATTATGTGGATTCCCGTTGACGAACAACTGTGGAGATGACGAGGTGCCGGTCTTTCCGACACCCGAAGAAAATGACGATTCTAGTTTCTTTAACGGGTTTTCTTGGGAATCTGTTGCTTTGGGATACGGAGTCGGGATATTAATTGGATCGGGTATCGGATGGCTTATGTTTTATTTGGGAAGGCCTAGATGGGTTATCAGGATCGCCGAAAGAGAAGAATCCCGACACGAAATAAAATCAAGAACGAGTCCCGGGATTACGGGATTGGCGGCCACAACAGCTTCCAGGCGCAAACGGCTTTCCCGAGTTTATGCAGTTAATCTGACCGGAAAGTCATTAACCCAACAATAATATCCAGGTTACCGGTAGATCCCAAACACCAGAGTTCGGAGTTTAAGTTATGTGAAATGTATCTGGGTTTTAGTGTATATAAATATTCAATAAGTTAATCTGACCAAACTTGAATGTTGAGATTTATTTTTACTATGGAAGCATGTTCATTGGTAATAAAATATAACTTTAATAAAATTTAAATCAATATTTTTTAAATTATGTGCAAACATTTTGCAAAATTCTCTTGATTTTCATAAAATTTCTATTGCCGAAATTCATCTCAACATTTACTTAACATATGGAACACAGTAAGAATATTTTGGATACCTTACAGACTTACAGGAATGCGCTGGTGAGTTTGTTTGTGGAAAGATCTATACTTTCGATAAATGATAGACCACCGATAGAAGTCTTTGTTTCACATTAATCTTCTAAGTTAACCTATACGGACAAAAATTATATATATATATATATATATATAGAGAGAGAGAGAGAGAGAGAGAGAGAGAAAGAGAGAGAAGGTGGGGTGTGCACATTTTACATCGGTAATGAAAGGACAATGACGTCTCTATAAAAAAAAAAAAACAATAGGCCAAAGAGAATCAATGAAAATGGAAAATAAGATAAATTAAAATATTAGTTTAACTCTTATTTTTTCAGACCTTATTAAATGACAAGAGACTCCGGAAAAAAAACAATCTATACTACAAAACGTCTAAACGAATCAAAATTAGTGGTAGTTAAGAACTGAAAATCAAAAAACAAACACACACATACACACACACACACACACACACACATATATATATATATTATAAAACATTTGACAAAAACTCTTAAAACCCATTTTTTATGCATGCAGTACTATTTATTGTTACATATTACTTAAATTTTTTATGTTATCTTCAAATTTATCTTTCATTCAAAAATAAAAACATTATCGTTTTTTTCAAAACCACATAAAATCGCATTATATCAATAGAGACATAATAAAAATTAAACATCAAAATCGAGATTTATCTCGCTGCATTGCGCGAGTACCCTTCTAATAGTGATCAAATGAAAACCGTCTAATTCTTAGAAACCGTGTAAACTAATTTCGACCAATAGGAAAATTCCTTTTTTTCTTAATTAAATTTAATCATTAAGGGTAGATTTGTCATTTACATTGTTTTATATTAAATATGGAAGTTATTAATAAATCTTAATTAAGGTAACATAATAAATGATAAATGATAGTATTTAAATTAGAATTTTAAAAATTGAATATTGTTATTTGGTTTATTAGTGGTAATAATATGAAAATCAAAAATTATTATATTCATTAATCCACGAAATCAGTAACAGATCCAAACAAAGATTCATGAACCGATAAAAATATAATCAGTTGTGAAACAGATTTATGTTAGATTTGTTCATGAAAACGTTCATTGAGGAGTTTGTTTTATGAAACTTTTGGGGATGAACTGGTTGCGTAATATAATATTCTTACATAATCTTTTTTTTTTCTTATCAACAATATTTGATGAAATTGTTTCATTCTGTTTTTTTTTTGGATGATTTTGTTCACTTAATGGTTAACAAAGCATTTAATGGTAAATGCATTGACTCTATGAAACGTGTTCGTATTGGAAGAAATTGGTTGATGAAATGGGTGCATGAAGAAAGTGAAACCATTTCATAATCGATAAGAAAATGATGTGTAATTAGCGAACAGTGAAGCAATTTCATTATTACGACAGAGAAACCATTTCATAATTGTTAAGAACATGTTTTTAATTAGCAAATAGTGAAACCATTTCATAATTAGATTGAAACGGATCCATCTACCATAAACTTGAAAATGACAAATGTCTCATCTAACATTACGTTGATTTGTGTATTAAAAAAACTGTGAAACCATTTCGTTCATGAAATGTAGTAGTAATTTTTTTGTTATTATTATTCAAAAGGTTTCAATATGTTAAATTGATTATAATGTGTTTTATTTTTATTGTTGATCTATTTTAATGATGAATGTTACTTTTTTTATAATATTTGAACATAAAATTAATATATTATTTTACAAATGATTTTGTTTCATTATTATTACGATATACATGATATGATTGTCATTAATATTACCATTACCAAAGTTACCATTTTTGCCTTTTTGGGATTATAAAATAATTTTTTAATTTTTATTTTTTTTAATTTCCTAATATAATCTAAACTAATTTTGACCGTTGATCAAGAAGATGGATGGACGAGATTGGTTTACATGGTTTACACAAATAAGGACAGTTTTCATTTGATCGCTCATCTCTCTCTATATAATTAAATAGGAAAAATTGAACATAAATTACATTTGAAAGCATTTTGGCCTTTAAACATCGCACAAGTAAAATGTTCATCATAACCTTTTTTAAACTCCTGAGCATTAGCTTACCTTATTAACATTTTACTAGTTGTTCACTCGCGCAATGTGGCGGAAGCCATAAATTTTAACGATTTTGAAGTTCCATTGGTTTTATAAGATAAGATTTAACGATGATATAAGTTACACTTGGTCTTTACATATTAATACAATTTGAATAAATAAGAGTTATGGTTCCAATTACAGATTATCGATGAAAAAAATTGTATGACAGTTTAAAATCCAACATATTTAAACGACTCCACAAATATATTCGATTTACACCAAAAGCAAAGAACCAATAAACTTGAGTTTTAAGATAAACACTCAAAACCAATAAAGAAAACTACAAAATTTGACAGATCATAAGTCATAAAAAGACAAAAAAAGATGGGTTTTAGAATGAAATTTCAACTGCNAACCCTCCACCTGATGATTATGTGCATTCATTCAACAAAATATAGCAGAAATGACACCACTCTTCACCATAGAGCACATGGTTCTTAGTTCTCTAGGAGGATCTGGTCAAGCTTATGTTCACTTCCATTGTAGTCAAACCCTTATAATACTTTTCTAATGTTCAAAATATGAAGAAAAAAAAAGCATATTAGGATCACTTGGGTACAGTTAGGGCTCCTCCGAATTCCATGTCACTGAATCGTCGTCTTGAATCTGAGTTGTAAAAGGGAATCGTAGTATAAATCGTCACTGGTGGGTATGAATCTGAGTGATAAGAAATCAAAGAAATAGATGGTTTACCTGAAAATGGTATGAGAAGAGAGAAAAAAAAACCCTAAATCGATGGAGGACAGGGGCACGTGAAGTATCAATAACACAAATAAGACCTGCATCAAAAACAGAATCGTTGTCTTGGACAAATGCAATCGTCGCCTTGGAGAAAGCAATCGTCGCCTTGAATCGTCACTGGTAGCCGGGTGGGTATGAATCTGAGTGGTAAAAGTTTTTTATGCAKAGCGCAGTTGTAACTTGGGCTATTAAAGTTGTAATTAAGATTAAGATTTTAGATGGATAGATGGATGAGGGTATTTTGGGTATTTATAATTTTAAGACTTTAAGACTTTGAGGGAATCTGCTTAATAAGATAGTATAGATATATATATTGATAAATGTTTAAAATGAAATATTTAAAAGTAAAGAACGTAAATTAATTAATTAATTAATTATAGAGGTATAAATTGCAAATTTAAAATTATAATTTTTAAAAAATTGGTTGTGAGGGGGTGAGTGTATGTGAGGAGAGGAAGGAGTGAAAAAATAAAAAAATAAAAAAATAAAAAAGTGAAAAAATAAGCATAAATGGTATTTTGGTCATTTAGAATTTTAAGACTTTAAGACTTTTACTTAATAAGATAGTATAGATACAAATACAAATACAAATACAAATATAAATATAAATATAAATATAAATATAAATATAAATACAGATACAAATACAGATACCAAAATATAGAATAATCTTTCGGGTTTGTAAACGAGATAGAACGTGTATTTGCGGTAAGAAATTGTCAAACCATCACCATCAACTAAGTCAAGTCTCCAATATAGCATTTAGTAGTTGCTGCAAAACTTCCAAATAAATCCCGTGTATTTCACTCAAATATATAATCTATTCATCAGAGAGGATTACAGTAAATTTCAGCTTTTTCTGTTCTACAAAATATCAATCTATGGGGTTACACTTCATCTTCCTCATAATCATAATTCTCTCATCCACCATTACTGTTCCTGCTTCAACACCAGAAGCTAATGCTTTGCTCCAATGGAAAACCAGCCTCAGAAACCCCAACAATCCTCTTCTATCTTCATGGTCACTGGCTCCTACTTCTAATAACATAACCACACCATGCACCTGGCTCGGTGTTCGTTGCGATGATCGTTGGAACGTAAAARRGCTCSATCTTTCTTCCTCAAGATTGAACGGAACGCTTCAGAACTTCACGTTTCTATCGTTTCCGAGCCTTACCCATCTAGATCTTCACGAAAACGACATTTCTGGTGCCATCCCGACGGAAATCAAGTATCTTTCTAAGCTGGTCGTTCTCGATCTTTCCGGAAATCGTTTTTCTGGAGCAATTCCCAYGGAAATAGGGTTTCTAACAAATCTTGAGACTCTTTCTTTGAATAAGAATCAGTTTATCGGTCAAATCCCGCATTCGTTTGGAAATCTGAGCAACTTGGGTTATCTTCGTATCGATGATAATAAGTTATCTGGTTATATTCCTCCCGAACTCGGAAATCTGGGGAATCTAGAGACGATCAATATTTCGTTCAATTTCCAGAAAGGACCGATCCCGTCTAGCCTTGGAAATCTGACGAAGCTGTCTTATTTGTATCTTTACCAGAATAATCTTTCGGGTTTGATCCCTCCATCGTTAGGAAATCTGAGCTCGTTAAGGATCATGTATATATATATGAACGAGTTTTCTGGTCGAATTCCTAAAGAACTAGGAAACTTGAAGTCGTTGGAACAGTTTCTTGTAGGCCATAATCAACTCGTTGGTTCCATCCCGGATTCGCTCGGCAATCTGACCAAGTTACAGATTCTAGATGTGCACGTAAACTTACTTTCGGGGTTAGTCCCGCCAGAAATCGGAAAATTGGAGTCGTTGATTCAACTATCCTTGAGCCACAACCAGTTTACCGGTCAAATCCCGGATTCACTCGGCAACCTAAGCAAGTTGAAACAGTTTTACGTTAACGATAACCTATTTAACGGTTTCATTCCGAAAGAGTTGGGAAATTTGAGCTCGCTTGTGGAGCTTTKGMTGGTCACTAATCGGCTTAAYGGTTCGATCCCAGATTCACTCGGTAACCTCAGAAATCTGGAGCWATTTGTGCTTCACGACAACCGACTTTCTGGTTATTTGCCAGAAACGATAAGCAAATGCGAAAAGCTAAGATATCTGATGCTAAGTAATAACTCACTCATGGGTCCGATCCATCCATCGTTTTGCAGCTTGAGATCCCTCGAGATTCTACATCTCGGGAATAACCGGTTTAGCGGTCCGCTTCTGCAATGCTTGGGAAATTTCAGCCACGAGCTCAAAGTGTTGGATCTGCGGTCAAATCGCTTCCACGGAAACGTTCCTGAAACATTCCTAAAATGGAATAACAATCTGGCGAGTCTSAACTTGAACGGAAATCRACTTCGAGGCTCGATACCGAGAAGTTTAATCAATTGCCGGAAYCTCGAAGTTCTAGATTTGGGAAACAATATGTTAACAGGAAAATTCCCGTTCTGGATCGATACGCTTCCYGAGCTTCAGGTTCTAGTTTTGCGAGGGAATAAACTCAAYGGCACATTAGACGGATCGACCACTCGATTTCCGTTTCCGAAGCTMCGAATCATTGACCTTTCTAGCAACGAATTCACRGGTCGTTTGCCATCGAATTACTTCAAGAACTTCAAAGCGATGATTGGTATAGATAGACGGGCATCGGGACCGCTTTAYATGGGCGGAGACTTGCAGATATACGAACACACCCTCATGCTTGTGGTAAAAGGAATCAGACTAGAACTAGAAAGAATCCTAGTCGTCTACACCACCGTAGATCTCTCTGTCAACAAATTCGAAGGAGAAATTCCTGACACCATCGGAAAGCTAAGTTCACTTCGGCTCCTGAATCTATCCCATAACGGTCTCACCGGAGAAATTCCGACACTCCTTAGAAATCTAACAAGTCTAGAATCTTTAGATCTTTCGTGGAACAACATCGTTGGCGAAATCCCGTTACAACTAAGGAGTCTGACGTTCCTTGCAGTCGTAAATTTTTCCCAAAATCAGCTTCAAGGCCCCATACCTCAAGGCGGACAATTCAGTACGTTTCTAAACGCTTCATATCAAGGGAACGATGGATTATGCGGATTCCCGTTGACGAACAACTGTGGAGAYGACGAGGTGCCGATCTTTCCGACACCTGAAGAAAACGACGATTCTAGTTTCTTTAACGGGTTTTCTTGGGAATCTGTTGCTTTGGGATATGGAGTCGGGATGTTAATTGGATCGGGTATCGGATGGCTTATGTTTTATTCAGGAAGGCCTAGATGGGTTATCAGGATCGCTGAAAGAGAACAATCCCGATACAAAAGAAAATAAAGAATGAGTCCCGGGATTTCGGGATTTGCGGCCACAAGAGCTTCTAGGCACAAACAGCTTTTCCCGAGTTTATGATGTTAATCTGACCGAAAAATCATTAGCTCAGTAGATTCTAACCTCCTTAAAGGTCAGGGGTTTAAGTTATGTAATGTGTGTGTGAGTTTTAGCGCATATAAATATTCAACAAGTTAATCTGGCCAAACTTGAATGTTGTTATATAGTTTAAAAATTACGGTTTTTATCCTCGCGGTTTGTAACTTATTGTTATTTTTGTTTCTATGATTTATAATTTATTGTTATTTTTGTTCTTGTGGTTTACAATTTTTTACCGTTTTGGTTCCAATGATGAAGATAACAATAGAATATAAACTGTAGGGACGAAAATCGCAATTTCTAAACCAAAAGAATGAAAATCAAAATTATTAACAAACCACATGGACGAAAAATATAATTTACTTAAAAATGTATAATAATTATCAAATGACAATTTTATCCTTACTAATGAACAAAGTAATGAAATTTTCCATCTTAGAATTAAGAGTAAAATTGGAAAGGAGGCAATTACTTTTAAAAATAAACACTTATTTCAAGATAAACTAAAATAAAACATAAACACTTATTTTGTGMAAGATATCAGATAACTACGGTATCAGGTTTCCAAAAATAGAAACATATTTGATTTCAATATGAATGTATACRGTATAGTTAAATTCAAACAAGCATTGTGTTCTTGTAGCCAAATCTTTACAAAAATTGCTCAAATCACTCCAGATAGTTTATCGTCTAGCATTCGACCCCACATTGTTTAAGAATCGGGCCCGATTGTTTCGGCAAGAACGGGTCGATACGAACCCAAACCAACGAGAAGATGGAAGCCAGAAGAATCGACCACAAAACGACAATGGTTGGAGTACGGTTTTGCCTTCCCATCAACCCCTTTAGGAACGGGTATAGATGAACGATGACCCAGAAYGAAAAGAACAGTTTCCCGAATAACGGGCCCCACGATCCGTATCCGTTGTTGATTGCATCGGATACTCCCGCCACAACWCCGACCATGTTCATGATGATTAGAGTTGTCGGCGGGATTAAAAGTGTCRTCCATTTGAACAAGTAGAGCTCGCCAAACTCGGCATCGTCGGCCGCTTTTGCCGTGACGGTGAAATTGGTGTCGACGCCGCCAAGAACCTTGAGAAGGCCTTGGAAAACGGCGAAAAGATGGGCGGAGACACCACCGATCACCCAAAACTGCTCGTTCCTCCACCAATCTTGGATGCTAACATGACTCCACCGGAGTTCGAGTACTCCGGTGACTATGATCGAAATGAAAAGGGCAAGGAACCAAATGCTTGCAAGGTTATTGAGCTGCAAAAATGATTCATAAATATCGAGTGTCAGTTAAAAGACGAAAACACCCTCGGTTTCTGATCATTCAGTTTTATTAAACAACTCGGGTACGAGCAGGACTGACCGTCRGGATGATGAACTTTCCGGTGAGAWGACAGACGGCCGGAAGCGTACAATATGCCAGCAAYGGGATAGAAGTAAAAGGGTAAACGATGGTGTTAATATAAGCAAGCCTCTCGAGCRTTTTCAGCTTCCCGGCCCAGGCATACCAAAGCGGGCAATGCCGGCTCATGAAAATCTCGACGGAACCAAGAGCCCATCGGAGCACTTGGTGCAGCCGATCCGACAAATTGATCGGTGCAGACCCCTTAAACGCCGGTCTCTTTGGCATACAGTACACCGATTTCCACCCCCGACAATGCATCTTGAACCCCRTCAAGATATCTTCTGTAACCGATCCGTAAATCCATCCAATCTGTTGGCAAAACGAAAGAAACGTCAATCTAAAAGAACGTTGGGTAACCTCGATTTCTATATAAAAAACTAATATAACACTTTATTTCAAAATCAAAAATATCATTAAAAACTTGCTAGGATGCCCAATAACTCATACAAAGTTAACAAATAGTTTTTCTAATGTGTTGTTTCATATATGAAACATGTGTGAAAATGCAGTATTTACACAATRTTGTTTCATATGTGAAWCGTTCAATACTGGTTTTCCACACACAATACAGTCCTGAATGTTTCAAATATGAATCAACACATRAAAACCGGTTTSTAAGTTTGTACGATTTATCGRGTTTGTAAATGATTACGCAAAACCAATGTTCTTTTACCTCTTTKCCCCATTCRGTCTTCTCTTCGTATCCGCAGCTAATGACATGAATCGCTTCTTTGATCAAAKAATTGCTGTTGGTTCCTTCAGGAATTCCACSGGTTTCCATTAGAGTTGTCGTTATGAAAACCGGAGACTGCCCGAATCGTTTCTCGAAGTTTTTCTGAGACATTAGCAATGATTTGTCCAACTCGTCGTACCCTTCGAGCCCTTCTTCGATCTCCTCGAGATCGTAGGCWGGTGCCAGYGATTTCTTTGAGTACTTCTTCCTGCCGCGAAGTTTYCCGAGCCCAAATAAAGCTTTCAGCCCTTTCTTTTTCGGCACCGCCGCCTTGGACTTCTTCCTCGAACTGGTGCAACAGCAGCAGCACCATGACGGCCAGCAATCGCAAGTCATTTTTTGCCGCTTCTCTGACACCGGGGGGTCGTAACCATATAACGCCTGTCGATTAAAGACGCATCCCGTTCCAACATAGACAGGGCCTTGGATTCCATCAAGTCCTCTCATGTTGATCTGTCAAATTTGAACGTTGTTATAATTCTCCCGATAGTAACGATCAGTAGAACAAAATCGGTTTTATAGGACGCTATATTATGTCTATTTGTCCTAATAGACTGCTTAATATGACTTAAATTTATATTGTATAAATATGTTACAATATAAAACAGTCTATTAGATCATCTAGGGGTGGTCTCGTTGGTTTTCCTTCAAGTCCTGTGCCTGTAATCCTGTATGGATAAAACTTTCTGTGTGGATTAATTCGTCTGTATAGATTGAGAAGGGAGTGTGTTCTTTAATTGGGATAAACAGGTTTGGAAAAAGCTTCTCCTAAAACCTTACTAAATAAGCTACTTTCTATATTGTTCAGCCACCACTAAACAGTCATGTCTAGCTGACCAAATAAAATGCGAGTCTCATTAAGCTGCTAAAGAACATGCCGTTAAGACATGTTTGGCATCCTATAAACCCGCTTTTGTTGTAATTGATATACAAACACATGCTTCTGTGTATTGAAACTTACATCGAAGAACACGACGTTGCGATTGGCGTAACGATCATTGTGATCGATGCCGTCAAACCGTTGTGGGAATTGGACATAGCATAGCTTCTTTCCCAGCTGTGGATCCATCAAGAAGCACATTGCTTCCCTTACAGCCTTGCTGTTGTTGATATAGTGATCACAATCCAAGTTCAGCATAAATGGTGCATTCGTAAGCACTGCCGACACTCGAATCTAATAAGCGACACAACAAATCAGTCAAATTTAATGATCCCATTTTTCCCGATGAACAAATCCGGCACGAAAAAGCTAGAGTCTGTCGCGAAAAGCGACAGATCACTACAACAAATTCTAATAGACCATTTTATAGGACCAAAGAATTGTGTCTCTATTTACAAAGGTGTTACGGTACCAAATTATTGTAACACCTTTACATAAGTTGCACAATTATTTGGTCTTAAGAACTTTACGTCCTATAATACAGTCTTTATAGTCTATTAATAGAGACCGTTAGATATACACTACAACAAAATTTGCTTTATAGGACGTCTAGTATGTCTAAGCGTCCTAATAGAATATTTTATATAATTTAGATTTATAACCACACAATAAAACGTCTTATCTAAAGGAACGTTTTTAGGTGTCTTAACAAGTTTTTGGAACGTTTTTAAAATAAAGTGTCTCATTAGCTATTTATAGGGTACTTTTGAGAAATGTCCTATACACCCTTTTTTTATAGGACATCTTTTCAAATAGTGTCGTTTAAAATAGCTAATACGACAACGGTGCCATAAAAAACTTGTTAAAACGCTTAAAAACGTTCTATAAACCTATCGTAACACTTTTAGAAAGGACGTTTTTTGGTTTGGTACTATAAAGTATTTTTTTAGGACGCTTATACATTTTAGGTGTCCTATAAAATCAATTTTGTTGTGGTTATATTTGGTGTCCTATAAAACTGATTTTGTTGTAGCGGATGATTCCCGACAGATATGCTGTCAGGTTTGTTTTTGGTCATTTTAACTCGATACTTACAAGGGCGTTCATGGCACCAGCCTTCTTGTGATGGTTATAACCAGGTCGTTTCTCACGCGAAACATAAACCAATTTCGGCAACTCCTTGCCTTCGACATCAAGAGCACCTCCGCTTCCCAGATAAACCTGTCGATAAACGAACACAAAACGTTCGTGTACGTCGGGATTGTGGGTTAGTTATTGAGTTGAATTTCGTGGTCCATGGGATCGAGCTAGGCTCAAATTGAGTAAAACCCACGTTATGAAATGTGACCGAAAATAAAATGTTGAGTTTTACGATACCTGAATCATTCCAGGATGATCACGACTATCGTTCCCAGGCCATGGCGTCCCGTCTTGCATCACCCAACCTTCTTCGGGTTTTTTCAGAGCTTTTGCCACCAACGCATTGATTCGCACCTTAAACTCCTCGTATTCTCTCTGCACCCGTCGACAAAATTAACCATCGTTATTGTTAATACTGATAAAAATATTACGGTATGCAAGAATGAGCGATTTTGAGCGACTTACTTTCATGGCTCTACGATCCTTGACGAATGTAGGCTGCACTTTGTCCTTCAAGTAATCGATCTTCTCCGAAAAATAAAACTCCGGAGCCCTCGGCTCGATGCTATACTTCTTGGCAAACGGAACCCATCGCCGAGCAAAGTCTGCAGTCTCAGATAACGTATCGAAAAGCAACATAGACGCACCATCGTCCGATACATAACAACTCACTTTCTCAACCGGATAATCCACGGACAATATCGATAGAACCGTGTTTGCAGTGATGATTGGTGGTTCCTTAAGAGGGTCGACCGAACTCACGAAGAAATCAACCGGCAAGAGCCCGTTGGGTTCACCCTCACGCTCGAACCGCAATGAGAGGCGGTCCAGGTAGGTTTCTCGGTTAATCGGGAACCATTTCGGGAACTGGTCGAGGATCCAAGATAAAGCGAACCAAATTTCGCATATAACGGAGATGAGCCACAGAGGGTAAGCGTCGTAAGCCGGAGTCATTATGCGGAAACGGAAGAAGAATACGAGGATCACGAGACGTAGCACGATGACGATACGGTACGGATTGATCAAACTCGATGAAATCGGGATTTTTCGCCATAAGGGTTGTCGAGCTTCAGCCATACTGTATTAAAATTCAAGTAAGTTCAAGCCAAAAAAACACCGTTTTGCTTGTGCAGTTTACAAGTTCGTTTTTGAACGTGGGTCCCACTTTTTCCCAAAAAAATGGAACTTTTCAGAGAGGTTTTTAGCCACCTAAACGTCGTAATTTTTATACAATTTCTTAAGTGACACTTAAGATTTCTTAATAAGAAATTATAGTTGTTGTGATAATGTTTTTGGGTCCCGCTTTTTTCGAAAAAGGTCGTATGAAAAGGTTCAACCATTGTGGATGCTCTGTTAAAATAACTCACAGATAGTCATCTTCTTCGCCTGGATCGTTTGCGCCATCGTCGGTTTTCGTCACTAGACCTCTCTTTTCTTGCCTGGTTTTCCATTTCTCGACTCGATCCTTCCATTCATCGTCTCTTTCACCGTCAAGATCCTTTCCGACAACTACATATACAGTACGTAATCCTCAAATAATGTTTTAAGACATGCGCTTCGAATACAATACCAAAAAAAAAACGCATATTAAACGGGTCATTGTCGACCAAAATTCAAATTTTCGTTACCGCTTCCGGCTGTGGAGAAAGCAAATCCATTGGTATTGTACTGTTTTGGAGGATGATGGTCACCATTTTCCTGTGAAGATCAGTCACCAAAAAGTTAGATTTCAGCAGCATTTTTCCTCGTATTTCTGGTAGAATGTCATAATAAACTGTTTTATAAAAACAGTCGTATGCCCTTTTTTAGGACACTTTTAGAATAAAATGTCTTATTAGTTTTTTTATAGCACACTTTTGAGAAGTGTACTAAAAACTCAACTTTTTATAGGACACTTATTTTTATAACATATGTTTATAAGGTCATATAAAAAACTAATAGAACGCTTTTATTTTAAAATTGTCCTGAAAACTTGTTAGGACACCAAAAAGCGTCATGTCAATTTATTGTAATATTTACATAGGACGTTCGATTGTGTGGTCATATAAACTTAGGTCCTGTAAAAGCCATCTATTAGAATATTTAGACGTTTTTTTCCATCATACAAATCTGATTTTGTTGTGGTGCGTGAACCGTAAGACCCTCGATAACGGGATGCCAATTTCGTGATTTTAGTTAGTTAGAGGTTATATGGATCGATCTACATGTTATTGACGTTAAATTGAATTACCGATGGATTGTCAACACAAGTCTGATCTCGGGTTTCTTGATGATTCTTTATCTGAAACTCGTCTTCAAAATCATCCGCATCGTCACTATCTTCATCATCTCCAACAACTCGTGGACAACCTGCGAAATCATCACGTAGCCTCAAAAAAAGTTAATCAATCAAATCCCGCTACCAAAAACATGAAAGCAAAAGTAAAGATAAGGGACTGAAGGGCTGTTTGGTTGGTTTTTCATAAGTCCTGTACGGATAAAGTTGTTTGTGTGCACTAATTTGTCTGTATAGATTAAGAGGGTTTTTGTTTGAGAGTGTTTTTCATAAATGAAGGAGCGCGTTTTTCAATTGGGGGGGACGTTTGGAAAAAACTTGACTTTCTACATAAAACTCCTCCCTGAAACCTTATTGAATAAACAACTTTCTATATCATTAAGCCACTACCAAACAATCTTGTATAGTTAACCAAGTAAGCTATGAGTCCGATTAATCTTTTTAAGTTTCTAACAAACAAGCCCAGAGGTATCCGGGGGATTACTGGTAGATCCTAGCCTCCAAGAACTCAATAACACAATATAAGTGAGTATTTGCTGTATATAAATATTATATACTTAAAAAAGCAATTTAGAGACGTTACCTTTGTGACGTTTATATCGAACGTTGCATTGAGGACAACATTGATTCCCTTCGGTTCGCTCATACATGTAACATGGCCGACACACTGGGAACCTGCACTCTTTACAAGCAACAAAAAGTTGGCCATTCTCGTTGTAACCGATGTCGTCCCCACAAACCCGACACACTTTCGAGTGCGTACTGACGTCATCGGGTTCATGGTGGCCATGGGAACCTGTAAAGAGGCCAGCCATGGCAGAAAGAAGAGATGGTAAAGATGGGAAGAAGATGGTGAAGAATGAGGGGGTTTTGAAGGGAGATGGATTGGTGGAAATCCACCAACTGATGGTTGGGGGGTCTAAAAGGTTTGATTAGAAGAGAAGTCACACCTGCTGTTTCAAGGTATCTTACAATCAAAGTGTCAAGAATTATAAATATTTTTATTTTATTATTATTTGTTTATTATATTTTTTTTTAAAGTAAATGTCAGGTCTGTGTACATCTTACAGGTCCTGTCGGTTAAATGACCTTCTCAAAAGTTTCCTTTAAATCCATGACCTTCTGACACGTTTTAGCATGCCACTTCCATACGTCAGAATGTCACGTCAGAATGCCACAAAACTTGTTAGAAGATTATGCTGTTAATAAAGATCTCATTTACGGTCAATGGCCTAAATAGTCCACATCATCACCAAGCAGGGTTTTTTGGGCTCGTTAGTTTGGTTTGGTTATAAATTATTGGTCATTATCTGTTTTTTAAGATAGAGGTCAGTTTTGTGTACAACTTACCCTCAAACCCATCTTCGAGCACGATTTTTTGGACTTGTTGGTTTGGTTTGGTTTACTATTATTGTCTATTATATGTTTTTTAAGGTAGATGTCAGATTTGTGTACAACTTATCCTCAGACCCATCTCTGAGCATGATCTTTTGGGCTCGTTAGTTTGGTTTGGTTTAGAACTATTTGTTTATTATCTGTTTTTAAGGTAGATGTCAGGTCTGTATAAAACTTACGCTCAAACTCATCTCTGAGAGGGAATTTTTGGGCTTGTTAGTTTGGTTTAGTATTATTTATTTATTATCTGCTTTTTAGATAGATGTCAGTGTATATCTTACCCTCAGACCCATCTCCAAACTTTTTTTGCTCATTTAGTTTGGTTTAATTTGTTTATTAGTTAATATTGTTTTAAATGATGTATTTAGTTAAATATCAAATAATAGGAATGTATTTCATACACCATGATTACATGTTGCAGAGTAGATCTCGAAAACAAATCAAGGCCGTTTACCAAGCGCTTACTCGAATCAATTAAGCGGGAAATTGTCCAAAATAGTTATTTTAAACTCTCCAATTCATTTTATAGCCGCTTTTCTACTCGATTGACCGAAATAGCCAAGATTTCGTAAGTACCACCTTAGCAACTTGCAAAATCTATTTTTTATGAAATTAATATTAACGAAGTAACATTATAGCAAGTTGCAAAAGATCTATTTGTGAAATTGCTGACGTGACAAGTAGCACTTTTACAAATTGTGTAAGTGACACTTCCACTTCAGCATTTCGAAAGTAGCATTTTAACAACTTGTGAAATTGCTACTTTAGGAATATTATATTCATAAAAAGTGGATTCCGTAAGTTATATAAGTGCTACTTGTTTCGGTCAATTATGTAGAAAAATAGTTATAAACTGGATCTTGACCGGTTGTCGGGTCTTCAATGGTGCTTCAACTTTTTATGAGTTCATTCAGACATTTTAACAAACACTTTGCAGGCACTTGAAAATGATTCTGAGAAGCAACAGGCGAATCCCTAATCAAGAAGGGGTAGAGATTGAAAATGTCATAGCATCTGAAAAGATTGTGAAATCAAGATCTGGAATAAAGAAATCTAACCTTCTACCAAGAATCTGATAGCAACCTTCCAGCCTCTCTCATGTATCTCAAATTCTCAATATCGAAAGGTCGCTTAAAATGTCAAACTAACACCATCACAAGGAAATTTAACAAAATAATTAACAATGTGAAATAAAAAAAATTAATTATAAAGTTTACGGATGAATTAAAGGGTAAACTGGATGAAAAGGTAACTTACTTTAACTTGATTCCTATTTTGGATAACGTACTTCTAGAACTTTCATTTTGGTACTTAAAATGTAAAGTTTTAAATATTTAAGTATCTGGAGAACCGGTTGAAGCATTAACCGGTTACATGCTGATGTGGCGAATGATGTAGTATCCAACTCAGTATTATTTGTTATTCAACCCAATTTCACTTCATCACTCGCAACATCAACATGATAACCGGTTAATGCTTCAACCGATTATCCGAGTACTTAAATGTTTAAAACTTTACATCTTAGGTACCAAAATGAAAGTTTTTGAAGTACGTTACAAAAAAAGAGAACCAGTTATTTTGGAATGTACCGCTTGTGGGGAATTTTCCGCAATGGGCGAAAGCCTGACGGAGCAATGCCGTGTGGAGGTAGGCGAATTGATGTACTTATTGGATCCGTCGGGACTGACGGGGATCCCTTATGCCCTGGGCGACACACGTGCTACAATGGCCGGGACAAAGGAGAGGGATGGGGTTTTTCTCGCTTTTGACCGAAATAAAAATCAAGTTAAAGTACAGTTATTTTTTCATACAATTTGCCCTTATAAAAAACAAAGTTATTTGAATTTGCAACTTGTAATGTTATATGTAATGATAACGGTTATAATAAAAGTTCGGGTAGTTTTTTAATATTTTAATAATCTTTTTAAAGGGTTTTACTTATTAATTGGACCATTTCTCCATTGAAATAATGCTTAGGCAGCCAAATCAAATCAAACGTACCCAACTATGTTTGAAAATAGAATGTATACAGACCTTACATCTGTTTTAAAGGGTAGAAAGCTTGTTTTCATTAAAAAAAACACTGTTAATTTTACACTAATTGGGTCTGTTTACTTACAGGTTAATGAGCTTAATGGTTTGACGGCTTAATCGCTCAACCATATTGGAGTGTTTCTTTATGGCTTAGTCGTTAAGCCATTAAGCCAAAATAACTATATGGAATAAGCCAAGAACCCTCATTTGTCCCCATTAAACCACCTCAAACAAATTAATGCTATAAATGCATCATAAATGATCCAACCCTCTCTTTTTACCTCCCTCAAACCCACAATCTCTCGTCACTCAATCAGAGATACTTATATAGACAGATAACTTAACTCATACAGACCTTCGTAACAACCCCTAAGGAAAACAATCTGAATCGAATGCACATTTACACTAGAATCAAGCAAAGTCAGCTTTGACAAATTACACGAATCGTAATACTTTTCTACCTAAGCTACATTCGTTTCTAGGATACACGAAAACATGCATCAGAAAGATCGCGCTAATTTAGCATTCTTAAACTAATAACGTTCATAATCGAAAACCACTCGAACCTTATGGGCTCGGAATGAAAACAATAGGAAGTGACTGGTTGCCCATATATATACAGTTTCCTTACGATGATTCAATAGATGACTCGTTTAATTTAGCACGCTTCGATGGTTGTGATTCCAATGGCTCGGGTTCTATAGATGGTTCAACCGTAATTGGGTCGGGTTTTGTTTCGGTATTGGTCGGCGAGCTAGAAATTTCGTTGGTCATCTCGGCTTCGGACTTTTCCAGGGTGCACGATGAAGCTTTGAGCTGGTCGATGCCAAACTTGCATTGCTTCTCGAAGATCATTTGGAGGTATCGGCCTTGTTCTTCTATTCTCATTTGTAGGTTTCTTTGAATCTGCGAAAGAGATTATGGAGATGGATATTTATGCGTTGGGTTAGAGGGAGTCGAATGCGTTAGATTTGTATAACGAATAACGATTATACCTCAAGTTGTTCGTGTAGTTTTTTCTGAACTTCCACCTGTAATCGTAATGCTTCGGTGATCTCCGAACTCCTGTTGTCGAAAGGCAAGATCGTGTCAATTTTTGTGAAAGTAACAGATGATCATATATATAGAGAAGGGTTTAAACGAGAACAGTTCTCAAATAAAAAGAACACGAAAACAGCCAAATGTTCTCATATGAACCTGACTCTATATATCTATCTATCTATATATATAGAGGGAGTTTCAAATACAAACCATGTAATTCTTACAAACTTTGCAAACCGATCTCAACCATATATTTAGATAATCAACATTGTGGATTAGATCAGTACCTAAATTTACACTCAACCGTATTTTATAACCACCTCCAAATTTTAAAATAAACAAAACCAAAGGGTTGAAATTAGGTCTGTAGAGTTTGTAAGAATTACATGGTTTGTGTTTGAAACTCCCCCTATACACACACACACACATATATATATATATATATATATGTATGTATGTATGTATGTATGTATATGTATGTATGTATGTAGTATATATATGTATGTATGTATGTATGCTTGCTTGTTATACACTTATGGGGGTACTGGTTTAGGCTCTGGGGATATAACAGAAATCTCATTTCAACTGGGTTCGAATTCAGGTACTGCCAAAGCCCTTTGGCCATGGAGGTTCATCTGCGATGACTCCAGGCCATTTTCGTGGTGGATCGAGGGATTAGTGAGTATGCGTAAGCTGGTCCGAAAACCCACAGTTACCCAAAAAAGGAACACTAATCGGATGACTATATGCTTAACGGTAGCAATATATGCTTACACGATACACATAATTTTAGTCAACTTAAAAGGTAAATTAGATAATTAACTTACGTTTTCAAATCGAATGACGATAAATCTTGCATTGGAGTAGGTTTTTTCTCCGAAGACCCTGCAGTAAATGATTAATCAATTGAATCACTAAATATCATCAACTATTTCTATATTGTTGTCCAAAAATATATGTGATGGCATGCATAGTAAACCAAATGAGACCTGTATATTCCATCCAGAGGTTTGATAAGCCATAAGCTAGTTTTGAAAAGCTACTTTAGATGGCTTATTGAGGCTTCTTTTTCATTTTTATCCAATTAGCCCCCATGTATGTTACATAAATGCCCCTTATATTTTCCTTTTAGGTCAGTATACATCGTCATCTACCTTCATCAGCTAGTTTTCTCCAAACATAACAAGTTTATCCACTAACAGCTAGCTTTTCAGCCAACAACAAACCTAGCCTAAGGACATGTCTGTTAGCAGCTTAATGAGCTTGATGGGCTCACAGCTTATTCGGTTAGCTATACATGACTGTTTGGTAGTGGCTTAATGATATAGAAAGTGGTTATTCAGTAAGCTTCTACGGGGAAGCTTTATGTCGAAAGCCAGGTTTTTTTCAAACTTGTCTCTCCCAATTGAAAAACACAACCATTCCGCCTATAAGAAAAACCTTCCCAATCTGTAAGGACAGATAAATCCACACAGACAACTTCATCCATACATGACTTGATGAAAACCAACCAAACAACCCTCGAATGTCACAGGAATCACAGCCAAAGAGACAAAACAGAAGTAGTAAGATAAGTTTTGTTTACCTTCTGATGAAGGTTCGGGTTTGTATCTAGCTGTCCGATATTTCTGCAGACAAAACCAGACATATTCTACATGAAATGAATCACGTTCCCTTCAAGTATGTATAGAAAAATACCAGAAATGCACCTGTAGATGACTTTTCACATGATAGATTGTTAAGCCCTCAACTTTCATTAGCTTCAATACTCCCTTGGGGGTAGCTCCTGTGGATTCAAATGAGTTAATTATATGAAGAATTTGCGCGATAAAATACAACAAATGAGTTAATTATATAAAGAATTTGCACGATAAAATACAGCAAAGGAGACATAAAGCACGAGATAAATACTTTCACTTCCACCGAGCTTGTTGGCTGCCTCCACAAAGGCTTCATGAAGTTCAGGCGTCCAACGCATTCGTGGCTTGCTTTGGGACCCACTCCCACATGATGATGGCGTTAACGGGGCGCAAGCCTCTCCAGGTGACGCGGGAACCAGGTTTTTTACTTTGAGCAAGTTTGTAGATGATCTCCCCACATGAAATGCCATCTAAAATAAAAAAGAGTTGCTAAAACATATACATAATAAACAGATGTCGACATAGTGATATGACTTTGAATGAGCATGAACCATGTGATTTAGATTTTGAGATCTTGGGGTGATAGAATAAATTCACCAACCATGTCGTTAGTTCACATATATATAGGGAGGTTCAACTAAGAAAGGCAAAAAGGTCAAGAACGTACAAATCATTGGTAAAGAAACCGTGGATTCACATATGCATTGTCATATGTGAATAATTGGTAAAAAGGTAGATAAGCAAACATGGGTTCACATATGTATCTTGAAATGGATTTTTTTGGTGTTTTACTAATGATTCACATATGAATAATTTATTCTTGCATTCTCAACTTTTTTTTCCTTTCTTATTGGAACCTTTCCTATATATAGGGTTGGGAGAAGGGGAAAACCACAAAAAAAAAAAAAAATGAAAAACTGAGGAATATCCTAATATCCATTTGTTTGTCCGGTATGTACACGTGCACAAATGCATAGAAAACAAGGAACATTTTCAATTACTTTTATGTGTATATGCATACCAGACAAATGAATGGTTATTAAGGTGTTCCTTAGTTTCCCATTTTTGTGTGGATTTTGCCTAAACCTGAGTGAACCCGAATCTATATATATATATATATATATATATATATATATATATATATATATATTTAGCATACAACAGCAGGCTTCTTATGTAACCTATGCAGTTACTTTTTAGGAAGAAGGAAAATCAAAACCAGCATAATTTTGTTTCTTGCTCATTTAAGTACAATTTCTCAAATTTTCTTTTCTATTTTATGCATCAAAACATATAAATAAAAGAAATTTTCAGTCATACCTTTGGCTCTGGATCATCAACATTAGCATCAACTAGAATCTCATTCCAATTTGGTGTTATAGCATCATCTTCAGTGATTAGCTGGTCAGCCCAATCTTGCCAATCATTTGGCTTGCCAATATCCTCAGGTGGCATCAAACCACTGTCATTGTGTTCTAGATTACTCGACTCGATAGGGATATTTTCCGGGTAATCAAGAAAATCAGAAAGTGAGTCTGTACACCAAGAACTACTGTTATTTTCTTTCATATATTGACGGAATGCAGTAGAGCGAAGAACACCCAATGACTGAGTGGTAACAAAAGGGGCTTTTTTGGAACAAGTTTCATCCGGAGAGACAGAAGATAAGTGAAGATGTGAAGACATCCCTGAAGACGAAGAGAAAATGTGACCAACGGTTCCATTAGTTGAAGACTGTTGAGAATCCAACAACTTGGGAAGTTTTTCGTCAAGATTGGTACGATGGATAGGAAAAGATGAAGATAGAGCTGCAGTTGCTCCTCCATGGTTACTAAGTTGTCTTCCACCTGATCTTTGAATGGATAATGCAGGTTCTGCCTCCATAACTAATGTGGCAAGAGAAAGAAGTTAATAGGTTTCTTGGCATAGGTTAGCTTAACGCATTTAGCCCAGCTATGCAAAGCTGTTTCCTGAAAAGATGGTCACTAGAATAAGATGAAGAAACCAAACCAAACAATTGCAGTATATCTCACCAGAAGGTGGGGTCTGAGGAGGTGGGACGTCTACAGACCTAACCTCTACTTCAAATAGTAGAGTGGTTGTTTTCGTGAAAACCCCAAGCTTGTGCAAAGTGTGCGGAAAGACAGGATAAAACTTGCTATTAAGTTGCTAAAAGAACACAAGAAGAACTTGAAAATCAGAAAGATAAACAACAAACGAAACATACACCTAACAAACAGATAAACAACAAACAAAACATACAAATAGGGCAGTTCGCGGTGCGGTTTGGGGCCAAACTGCAAACCGCACCGCACATGCGGTTTGAGCATTTTCGCAAACCGCAAACCATGTGCGGTTTATGCGGTTTATACCTATCGAACTTTATATCTATAATCCAAAAATTATAAGTTTGAAAATACATTATAATATCAACGGCAACATGACTGGAGTCCAAAAAAACAATAAGTTTCAATACATCCGATTCTCAAATATATATTGCATAATTATATATAGTTTAAGAAGTAAAAAATAAACTTCAACTAAATTGGACTGCGGTTATATAAAATTAAAAAATATATAAAATATGTGGTGCGTTGCAGTTTGAACCGCAGTTTATAACTCAAAACCGCACCACATAGTACGGTTTGGTAAAAGTGCAAACCGCAAACCCCACTGCTGATGTTCTAAATTGCGCTTTGCGGTGCGGTGCGGTGCATGAGGTTCAGATGAACACCCCTACATACGAAAAGAAGCGGGTACAAGAAAACATAACCAATTAATTGATAATCTGCTTCTAAATAAAAGACACAAGCCCAAGATATAAAGCAACATCTTGGTAAAAATTTGGAGTGAAGATGCCAAAAAAGGATTGGAGTGGTGATATTTGTATTTTACATTCTAAAACAGGGTACAATAGTGTTGGCATATAACAGGTCTTGATGCAAACATGATTCAACTAATAACTCAACTTTGGAAAATTCTTTTATGCTTTCACTTTTATGTCGAAATTGCCTGTTAGTATGTTCTTGAAGTCGAGAAGTGCAAAGGAATTTAATAATCTATTTCAAGATTAAAAGATATTGGAGTACCACATCGGGCAGACTTGGACAATTTATCCTTGATATATGTTAGGAACCTCCCTCCTCTTTTTGAGGGTTCTTTTGGAGAGTAATCTAATAGGTTCCACATATTCTTAGATTGTATGAGGGCCAAATCTACCACTCAAAAGACGTTCGGCTAGATTTGAACCATTTGTCCTCGTATATTTTGGACATCCCTTCTATCCTCAAAGGCTCTTTCTGGAAAGTAATCTAACGGGATACCAGGGAATAAAACCTATATGGCTTGTTTGTTAGCAGCTTAATAGGACTCAACTTATTCGGTGAGAGATACATGGTTGTTTGGCTATGGCTTGTTGATAGAAAGTGACTTATTCAGTAAGCTTTTAAGAGAGAGTTTTATGCAGAAAGTCAAGTTTTTCTCAAAGCTGTTCCTCCCAATTAAAAAACACACACCTCTCCAATCCATTCAGATAACTTTAGCTATACAGGACTTAATGGAAAACCAACCAATCAGCCCTAAACTTTGAAAGTGGTATACAGATGATGTGGTTCTGATTCTGCAAAAAGGGTCTGATGTGGTTCTGATTCTATCCTTGATATAATCCAAAAACTAGAAACTTTCATCGAATCTTCGAAAAAGATTCACGTTTCCATGGCCATCTTTTGAGCAAACTAAAGGACCAAAAAAATTTATAAAAGCAAAACAAATTACTTACAGCATTTTGATTGAATGAACAGAGTTAGGATGTAGTAATGTGTACAAAGTCAAAATAGACAGCAATTACCCTAATTGAAGCCCAATCAAACAATCCCTAAAATGGAAATTTCTATCCATTCAATTAACAAATCGACACACCAAACTACAAAACTTCACATCTTCGCTACCTAATTCATAACTATTAAAATGCAATCAAAATCACGAAACGAACATACATTAAATGATTAAAATCCTTACCTTAGATCATAACAACAAAATCGAACAACCCGAAATCCTTAACAGCTCCCGATATACAGACAATTTGAACGGTTTCTGAAGAGATTGAGTTGATGGAATCTGACGTTTTTGAGTGGTTTTTTTTAACACAGATATTGCTTGTCGTATTGATTTCATCACCGCAGACGAAATCGAACGGTGACGAATGGGCGACCTCCTTGTTCAACTTGGCCTTTGCTTTGTGTATGCAGCAACTAAAAAAAGGATAATTGAAAAGGCCCACTCGCACATGGGTGGCGCGTGAAGATCATTGGAGGATAAGTGGTGGACGATGTCGCCGGGCCCACCTGACAACGCCGTGTCAGCGGTGTTGTGTGGTGGAGAAAGGGGAAGCGCGTGGAAACGACAAATTGTAGTTTTCTTGGAAAATTTGAAATAGAAAAGGTTTGGGAGTTATGGCATCAGCAACTAACGTACGGCTTTCAATTATTAATAAGAAAATATCCATAAAATAATTAAATATTCTTTTTATTAAAAAAATTGTGTGCTTTTATATATTACTAGAATAATATTTGCATAATTCAGTGAGATATATCTTTATTTTTAATGTTTTATTTTATTTTCTGTCTCTGTTAATATAATAAGATTTATATGGTTTTTGAGAAAAATAATAACGAATGAAGATACGTGTCGTATTCTTCTTTATCTCCCAGTTCACAACAAAATTATAAATAAAGATATGCGTCACGTTCTCATTTATCTCCTAGTTTGCAACAAAAATTTAGGTTTGTACCTAAACTTTCCTATATGAACACATAACTAATAAAGAAATAGAAATTATTTAATGAAAAAACATATTTTAAATAATTAAATAAATAAAATGTTATATTCCTTAAACGATTCAAAATAAAAAAAAAATTATATTTTTTTATTTAATTTAATATTATATATACACTTATAAAACTAGGTTTGTTTGGAAAGGTACCAAGTATTGGGTATCTTTGATAAATATTTTATAAGAATACTTTTAAATGTTTCAATTAAATAAATATCTATTATTATTTTTTGTTTAGATAATGTACGATATTTTAAAGAGCAAATTACATGAAAAATTAACGTGCTTTAATTTAATTTCTATTTTGAGTAACGTACTTTTAAAACTTCTATTTTGGTACATAAGATGTAAAGTTTTAAACATTTAAGTATCCGGATAACCGGTTAAAGTATTAAGATATCATACGTCAACAAAGAATACTGAGTTGTATATCACATCACTCATCACATTAGCATGGTAACCGGTTAATTCTTCAATCATTTACCCAAATACTTAAATATTTAAAATTTTATATCTTAGATATCAAAATAGAAGTTTAAAAAATATGTCACTTGTAAAATAACAACATTCTTTCATATTTTTTTTTTTTTGGTTGATAGGACCCAAACATTCCATCATGGATGTCACTTGCAACCAATAAAAGAAGAATCCAATAATTATTTCACTTAGAAAATGGATATTTTTGTGACTTCAAATTCATCTTTAAAAAATATCTTTTTTTTTTGCAATAATTACAAACAAAATGCCAAAAAAAGTATCAGAATTAATTTTATTAAAGATCGATTATGATTTCAAGTTATAATAATCGTCGATCCTTTTAGATTCTCTTATTTCTCCAGACAGATCAAAAACCATTTGATTATCGACTGGTTTTAATCAAATGTATCAGGGTTTCTAAGAAAATCACCTCACTTATAGCAAGGAGTTCTTTATTTCAGACTTGCATACAACACTGATATAGTGGTTTCGCCATTTTTCCGACATTGATGTAGCGTTATGATGAATCCTTCCAAGACCATTGGGGATTTTTCTTACTGTTTTCTAAACTCCCACATAGATTAGTCGATGTGCACACAAGTTGGTCCGAACCCACCAATAATTAACCAAAAAAAAAACACTGATATAGCGGCTTTATAAGTATGTCGATAGTTTCTTAAACAGGTAAAAATAAACGACATCTAATTAATGAATATAAATATCCATCGATCAGCGTTTCAAAAAAATATCATTTATTGTATGAGAATCAAAATAAAATATAGAATGGTTTTATAAATTATGATTAAATACTAAAAAAGGGAAAAGAGTTTTGTCTTCTTTGGACAAGTTGGGAATTATTTGCATAGAAATTAAGTGATTGGTTGATTAAGAAAAAGAAAAGGGATAATGACACCATGTAATGAAGACTTTCTTTTTCTTAATTAATCGTGGGTGTTTGGGCTATCTTGTCTTAGAGCTGTTAATGGATAGGACAACCCGTTAGGCCCGGCCCATCCGGCCCGTTAAAAATACGAACAAACGTTATCGAGAAAATGGACTAGTGCAAGTTTGTTCGTCAAAATTAACGGGCGGACATGGACAATGTAAAAATAAATATAGACAGGTCCATCCAGCTCGTTTATATTTTATGATTAATATTTTTTTACTATTAAATAAAATTATATTAGTATATTTTAAAATTAAATTATTAAAGTTATAAGATGGAAGTTGGGACTCTTTGGTTTTTCTTGAGAACCCAAAAAGCTCTACATTATCTTTGTATGTATTATTGATTTTATGGAAGCCTGAATTTTGTTTTTCATTGCTTTCTCCACTTGTTGAAATCCATGTGTCATTTTAGTTGCTTAAAATTTTAATTACAACGGTGTTTTTTCTTTAATTTTTGGTTCCACGTTTGTCAATTAATTGCTAGTGATCAAGTTTATACATTTATAAAAATTACAGTTTTTAGGCCCGTTAGCCCGTGGGCAAGCCTGTTAGCCCGTTTATAGGGTGGATAATGACAAGTTGTCAAGCCCGGAAAAAAGGGCTTGGATTTACAATATTAAGCTCGTTGGACAAAAAAAAACAAGTTAGCCTCGGCCTGGGTTGACAAATGATCACCTCCACCTTGTCCATACCTCAACTAATTCCATAAGCCTTGGAGAACAGCTAAGAAAATCCACTGGCTTTACAAGACTCAAACCAGTAACCTCTAAAGAAAATCTTCAAAAATCCAAATTTTATTATCAGTTAAACTAACCCTAAGCTCTATGTAACGAAGACTTGTGTTGAAAGTTGGGACATAACCATTTGTACTATTTGCATCACAACTTGTACATGATCAATTATTAGGAAAACACTCATTTTCAAACATCTTTTTTACTTTATATGTTAAATATGGGATTAAATATCTATAAGATTTATATCTATTGTTATCATATTCAAATCAGTATGGATGAAATACATCAAGATATAAAAGGAGGTATCTGGATTTTTGACTTCTGAGAAGTCAAACATCATCGAATCGTATGTGAGTTTATTTGTTGCATTTGACATGTATAAATATTATATATTTCTGTCGACCAATCAGGTGAAGACATACTAAGTAATAAAGGAGTTGAAAAACAAAGCATGGGAGAAAAGATTGAAAAAGTAAAAGGAAAAAGACAATAAATTTCATTGCACCAAAACAAGAACAAGAACAGTTGAAGTCTTGATTTCTACCAAAATTCTCAACCTAACAAAAACACTCCAAATAGCTTAGACAATAGCATTAGCAGCACTTGCAATCCTTGGCCACAAATCAGCACATTCCTTCCCAATGGGCCCAGTTATTGCAGATCCTACACAATCACATACATAATTACAACTTATGCCTACACCTTTTCAACTTCCTATGAAAAGACATGGGATCTTGTTAGACACTTTTGACCTGTTTGTTTTTGTGAGACCACATGAACAACACTAATAAACCTTCACAACAAAACCTTGTGAACGTTTGGTGTTTTTTGTACCTTCACAATGTTTTGCTCAAAAGTTCCAATGATATTTTGTGGTCTCCCAAAAACAGGTTGGTCTCACGTGAACCAGATATATGTTAAAAAAACACCAAGTTCTGTGTATGCATGACCATAACAAAATCTTGAAATCAAATCAGATTATGTATATTGATACAAAATAAGCAATTTGGTTCAAAAGGGAGTATTCACCAATCTAAAATATATATATGGAATTATGCACAATTGTTTTTAGATAGCACACACACTATATGCAAATAAGCAAGCAGAGATAGCAGTTATAATTGAAATTACCTTTCATTTCTCCTTTGGGGTTGACAATGACTCCAGCATTATCTGCACAACAAAAGATAAAGATTTCAAAATATGGTTTTATAGTCTTGTATATAGACTCGAACAATAACAAAAATATTGCATTTTATCTTGCACAAACAACAAGCCTTTTATGACAAACATCTTTGTCGGATGTGTTTGGTACGCAAACGAGATTGGATAAAGCTGGATCGGACCAAAAGGGGGAAAGTGAGGTGGTGTGCAGGTGAAAAAACTGTGGAAGGTTTTAGCGTTTTTTTTCAGATCCAAAATCTTGTCATGTCCCGGTCCAAATGTTGCACCAAACATGGAACAAGTTTTTGTTTGTCCTGCCCAGCATAACAAGCACACCCTAATTATGTAACCACATTGGAACTGTAAAGCACCAAAAAGCCTTTTATGACAAACAAGTTGTATTATGTTGGAAATGAACACAACTGTATAGAGCAACCTCTTTGACATACAGACTAATACCCTTCTTGCACAGAGAGGCAAACCCACAAGTAAATCCGAAAATAAAATTACTCGGCTGACACACACAAAAACAGTATAGTTATATACGTTTGTAGTCCTGAAATATACAAGGATAGCACCAAAAATCAATGAAGATGTCATATGCATATCACTCAGAGTTAGGAGATTACAAACTTAGAATTTGTATCTAAGCAGAAGTGCAAATAAGGTCATAATCTTTGCTGTATATTCCAAGGTAAAGGTGAGATCATGACAGAGAATTTCACAAGAGAGTTCTTGATAACCCCGAGATAAGCAGACTGCCACATCAGAAGGTTAGAACAATGATGGAATATCTGTAATCACAGGCTCTCTGCATCCAATACATCAAGACTCTACTATTCTAAAACTATTAACATCAATGCTTTAGATTCAACCAAAATTACTTTCATTGGTTACCCTTTTGTTATAGAATTATGTTGTTCTCATTTCCTTCTGAGCAACCAAAACAACATTATCGGTTCATAAGTTATTACCTCGTACAAACAATGTCTAAATTCAGAATAGAACAATAAATGTTAACATCAATCCACTCCAGAGAAAAGTGATCATGCTGTCAAAAAAGGATAAAATTTCTAATCTATGCTTCCTGATTATAGAACTCAACACCTTTAATAATGGCAGTTACATGATTTTCAACACTAAGGAAGAGTGAAAACTCCTTAGATCCCCACCTAAACATAAAGTGAGCTAAACAGGAACCTAAATTCGGTAGATGTCTACTGAGCATAAAGATGATTTGTCAAATTCAGCAATTCCATCAATTTGTGCACAATTGAATATGCAAGTAAGAAAAAAAGGGATCATTCTACAGCTATTCATAAGCGTAATCAGTGATGAAACGTTATGAACTACAACAACAGATCAAGAATAAATCATACCAAATATAGATGATTAACATGAATTTTACCTTCAAAGTACATAAAAACACCGTCCTTTCGGCGCCAAGGCTTGCGCTGACGAACAATAACAGCAGGCATGACCTTCTTCCTAAGATCCGGCTTTCCCTTCTTCACCGTCGCCATAACCATATCTCCAACACAAGCCGAAGGAAGACGGTTAAGCCTTCCCTTGATCCCCTTCACTGAAATGATGTAAAGGTTCTTAGCACCAGTATTGTCAGCACAATTCACCGTCGCAGCCACCGGAAGACCCAGCGACATCCGAAACTTGTTCCCGGCGGAACCACCGCGACCTGCCAAAAAAAAAACAACTAATTACCATTACTGTGCAAAATCAAATGTACGAAAAGCATCAAAAAGAGATGCAACGTGACGGTACCTCGCTTCGACATTGTTGATCTTCTCGACCACAAGCTCTGAATGGAGGCGCGGTGGAGAGAATTAGGGTTTTATATGAACGAAAGCAATTTTTCTTCTAGGGTTTTGTAGATTTGGGCCGTATATCGACATGATAGTTGGGCCATTTGTAAAACCAATTGAGATATTAGTAAATGTTATCATTGAATATTTGAATGTGATAATAGCACTAAATTTATCAACCACAAGGACAGTGGTTAAGTGGTTTGAGCTTGGACTTCAAATGTTAAAATTGTTTAGAGTTTTCAAGTTTAAATTTTAGGAGAAATAAAAATCTTTTGGTGACCATGGAGGTTCAAATGCGGTGATTTCAGGCTACCCGCAAAGCTAGTGTTCGTACTGGGATTAGTCGTCTCGCATAACGGGTTAGATATCCAGGTTAATAAAAAAATGAAAAATAAAACCATAAATTTATCAGGGTTCTTTTTCAAAGTGGATACTTATTGATGGTCATCGTATTAATTTTTAAAGTAAACTAAATTTTTCGTTCTTGTAGTTTGTTGAAGATCGTTATTTTTGTCTCCATGATTTTGAAATTAAGATGATTATTGAGTTCTAACAGAATACTTAATTATTATATTTATACAAAAATATTTAACCTAAATTAAGTTAAATTAAATTATAATAAAAAATTTGAATTAAAAAAACATACAAACAATAACTTTTAAATAGTTAATTTGATACTAATATTGATATTTTTTGTGCAAATTTTTATATGATATTTTCAATTTTATATTTTATTCAAAAATAAAAAACATTATCGTTTTCTCAAAATCACATAAAATCGTATTTATATCGACATGAATAAAAAATAAAACGAAACATTGAAATTGAAATGTGTCTCGATGCATTGCACGAGTACCCTTCTACTAATTATAAATACATATTTGTGTAATCAAATACTAATTTTTAAAAAAAATTGTCATTATGTAATATTGTCAAAACGTATACATCATAATTAATTAACAATTTTATTAAAAAAAAATTAAAACTATTTCTTAAAGCTTATTATTTATTAAAGGAAAAAAAAATATAACTTCAATCTTTACTCAAAATATGAATCAAGTTAAAGTGCGTAACTTTTTAATGCAATTTACCCTTTACCAAACGCTTGTAATCACTTACCAGCAGACGGATTAATGGTAGCATTTCCGACCATCAAAAATGGATCGATGGCAAACGTTTATAACCTGGTAAAAACTTACCGGGTAAGACTATCGATCCTTATCTTCTCTCTTACCGGGTAAAATTCTCAGTGCTTGTTATGTTCAACCGACAAGTGCTTACTAAGGTAAGTATTTAGTAAACGGCCACTGAATCTAAAGCAGACTGATACCAGTTTGCAGCATAAAACCTTTTATGCTTCCCAACAATTGAAGTCCACATGAATACAAGTTAAAAGTTAGGTGTCATTAAAGCTAAACTACTACTACTAATACTACTACAGGTTTATATATATCTTGTTAATACAAAAACATTAGAAACAGAAACAACCCCACTTTTGTTTTAATACATACTACATACATCAGACATAACATAGATCGATTGATATATAGATAGATACCAACACAGGTTTCAACACATCTTCATTTCATGTATATCTTCTTTTTCTAGATCCTGAAAACACAAAAACATTTGGTTACCATAAATCAACTCAATGAACTGTTGTTGGCTGATAAGCTAGCTGATAAACTAGTCATGTTTGTTAAAACTCAAGAGTCGTTTACCAAACTCTTACCGGGTGTCACTTACCTTACGGTAAGTATGGCAAGGACCGAGAATATGACATGACAAGAAGCATAGCAAGGACCAACAATCTTACCTAGTAAGTGAGGGAGAAGACTCTTACACGGTAAGTGCTTACCAGGTAAAAAACACTTACCACACTCCATTTTGATGGCCGATAATGTTAATCGATAAGGTAAGTGATGGTGATGACTCTTGAAGGTAAGCACTTACCCAATAAGTGTTTAGGTGATAAGCTAGATGATGATGTAAAATGATATGTTGAAAAATTAATTGGAAAAATATAAAGGGCATGTTTATGTGTACTTTTTTGGTCATTCTGCTACTAAGGCTATGTTAGGCAAAGTAGTAGTTGTGTAGTCATGTTTGTTAAAACATGGTTGATAAGCTAGATCACAATGTAAAATAACCTAAAATGACATGTTGAAAAATTAATTGGAAGGGGCAATATTGGAAGAAAATAAAACTTTGAAGCTTATTGAAACGCTACTTGAAATAATTTTTCAAAAGGCATGTTTCGGCTAACCAAACGGAGCTTTTTCAACAAGCTAGCTGATGGTTGTCAAACATGGCCTAAGGGGCAGTTTGGTTGGTTTTCCACTAGGTTCCGCATGGATAAAGCCGTCTATCAGAATTAAACTGTCTGTATAGACTGGAAAGGTTTTTGTTAGAGAGGGTTTTTTCATAGATAGAAGACGCGTGTTTTTTTTATTATGAGGGGTAGGTTTAGGAAAAACTTGGCTTTCTGCATAAAACTCCCCCACTAGAAACTTACTGAATAAGCCATTTTCTATATCATTAAGCCACCACCAAAGAGTCATGTATTAGCTGACCGATTCAGCTTTGAGTCCAATTAAGCTCATTAAACTGCTAACAAACAGGGAAGATCGAAAAACGGAGATTACTTACTATTTGGACGTTTGATGTTTCGGCAGAACCTGCTACCACATCGGCACCGAAATGCCTTCACAGGATGTTCTTCGTCATCAAAATCAATACCATAATCCTGCATGGATGTCAGAATTCATATACATATATGATATTATAGCAATTCAACAAATAAAACGGGACGCTCACAAGTGCAAAAACATAAACCATAGGAGCAGGATCAAGAATTCCGGGAAAAATAACACTCCTAAACAAGCACATGTTCTGGTTTAACCAAGTTCAAAGAACGGTATAATAAACCAAAACAAACAAACAAACAAACCCAATAAAAGCCAAGCAAATGTAGGGTCCATGGGTAGGATGTGGACTGATCTTTCATCTACCCTAAGATCCCGTTTGGTTTGTAGGATTGGAAAGGATTGGAAAGGATTTGGAGGGATTTGGAATTCCATTCCAATCCCATGTTTGTTTTGAAGGAAATCTTGGATTTAAAATCCGAGATTTCATTGAAATACCACAAACATGTGTTAAGAAATCCCAAGGGGTTCGTTGGTATTTCACAGGATTTTGTAGGATGTGTGTGTAATAATATTTTAAAATATGTTGTTTTACAATGATCAATTAATAAAAAGGTAATTAAATTATTTTTATAATTATCTATAATTTGTTTTTATAAATTATCTATAAAAAGTGAAATTCAATCCCATTCTAAATCCTACAAACCAAACACACCAAAAGATTCCAAATCCTCCCACAAAACCCAAATCCCTCAAAACCATATCATCAAACCAAACTCCCCCTAAGGGTTAATTAGCTAAATGACCTTTTGACCGTTCTTTTTTCAAATTCATGACCTTCTGATAGGTTTCTAGGCATTCTTATGTTAGGCAAAGGCGTTCTCAAATCTGGTTAGAAAGTCATAGATTTACAAAATCTATCAAAAGGTCATTTAGTTAGATAACCCTCTACCCCGAGTTTGCAAAACCAAAGAAATGAAAGAATCATGTGAGTAAACGACAAGTGTGAGTGTGTGAAAAGCAGGGACAAATGTGCGGAAACTAGGGTAAAACAAAGACAGAAACACAGTACAGTACTCAAAAGGGACAACTACTAGTGCAACAATGGTAGAATCTAAATACTGAATGTTATCAAACTCACCCATGTTAACTCTTCTAGAGCTTTCACCTTTCTTGTTGTGAAGAACGCAAGCTGCACATAAGGAACAGAAACAAGATTCACTTGCAACATCTAAAATATATGTACAAGTAATAAGCAGAAAGAAATGTATTAAGCTACATGATAATAGTGATGATCAGGATTCTCCACTTCCACGGGAATCTCCACCAAATTTGAGTCGAAACACCTACCAAAAAGAAATATGGATTTCAGGTCATTTTTCATTGTCATAAATTGATCACGTTTAAGTGAAGAAACCCAACATAGAATGATATAGGATGCATTTGGTATCATACAGGACTGGATAGGACTGAACAGGCGAGAGTGAGGTAGACAGATGAAAGAATTGTGGAATGTTTTAGGGTTTTAATTAGTTTAGTAATTTACCATGTTTGTCCCGTCTTCCTGATTTTTGTTCTACCTATTTTGGCGGGGCAAAAAGAAAATACATTTTTGCCCCACTCATTTTTGTCCAGTCCCAGTCTAAGCTTAATGAGCTTATGGGACTCGCATCTTATTTGGTTAGCTATAAATAATTGTTTGGTAGTGGCTTGATGATATAGAAAGTAGTCTCTTCCGTAAGCTTCTAAGGAGGAGCTTTATACAGAAAACCAAGTTTTTTTTCTTACCAGCAACTCCCACTTAAAAAAACATGTTCCTTCCATCTATGAAAAACCCTCCCAAACAAAAACCTTCATAATCCATACAAATAAATTAATCTACACAAATAGTTTTATCCAAACAGGACTTAATGGAAAAGCACCCAAACAACCCTTAATAATCGCACCAAACATGGGACAACACATTTTTGTTTTGTCCTGTCATGTGTACCTAATGCACCCCTATTGATGGCGAATATCACTTCATCCCACGGCACAAGCCCCATAAACGTTCGACATTGACGGAAAAAGACATAGGCATCAAAAAAAGTACATGAAATCATTTCGGTTAAGAAGCTCAAAAACAACGATTGCAGAAAGCCTCTCCTTCACTTGGGATTCTTATACTCATGCTAAATTCAAAGTAACACTAAGGGGTTGTTTGGTTGGTTTTCCATTAAGTCCTACATGGATAAAGTTGTATGTGTAGAGTAATCTGTTTGTATAGATTGGAAATGTTTTTGTTTGGGAAGGTTTTTTCAGAGATGAAAGTAGCGTGTTTTTTAATTGGGAGGGGCAGATTTGGAAAAAACTTGGCTTTCTGCATAAAGCTCCCCCACCTAAAAGCTTACTGAATAAGCCACTTTCTATATCAGTAAGCCACTACCAAACAATCATGTATAACCAAATAAGCCGAGCCCCATTAAGCTGCTAACAAACAGGCCCTCACACATCAGCTACGGTGTTGATCGGTTTAAAAACTCCAAAATTGTGGCCACTAAAATGACTTTTCAGCACATGAACAATCAAGAAGCTTGCACCATAAATCAACAATAACACAGAAAATGACTTGCAAAAATGAAAACAAGGTTATAATTAGGAACTAACTAAAACCATCTGGAAAAGACAAGTAAAGCTAATGAGGGTAACCGTAACTAATTAAGGAAACAAAAAGCTATTGCAGAATGAACACGAAATGGGGAAGCGCTGCATAAAGACAGAAAAATACGAGAGAAATGCAATTGCAAAGTGCTTAATTAACCGAGGTCCAATTGGAACAAACAACAAGCTCAAGATTCAGTCTATGCGTACCAACTCACCTATGATTGATGAACCTAGCCACATTTCCGTAATAAGTGGCATCCAAACAAAGAGCTTCTTCATCCTTTAACTCACTCTCTGCACCCCAATCAGCATCAAGCAGTACTGGATAAGCATGTTCATCTTTGTTTGAACTTCGTGAAACTCGATCATAGAGTTCTGCATTGGTTAGTACTTCTCCGACATATTCGCAAATGAATGCACCTTTAGGCAGGTCCTCAAGGGTGCGGAGACCCCAGCCTTTTCCTCCGGGTGTCATGAACACCTATAAGGGAAGAGACAGATTTTATATGCATATTATGCTAAAAACCATAAAGGAAAGCATTCAACTGTTATAGACGGGCCTCCGCACCTAAAGGACTGTAAGATTCCATATTTGTTTGAACTGTAAGATCCCACCAAAAGGTTTTAACTGTAAGATCCCACATTGGTTCAAGAGGGGAACTAAGGTTGCCTTATGAGGGACCGATACCTCCTCTACAGGATGCATTGTAAACCGTGGGTCCAAGGTGGACAAAGCGGGCAATGTCCGGTACGGTTGGCCTGGGATGTTACAAATGGTATCAGAGCCAGGTTTTGGACTGGTGTGCCAGCGAGGATGCTGGGCTCCCAAGGGGGTGGATTGTAAGATCTCACATTGATTGGGGAGGGAAACTAAGGGTGCTTTATAAGGGACTGGATACCTCCTCTACCAAACGCGTTTTAAAACCGTGAGTCCAGCTGGTGGATAAAGCGGACAATATATGGTACGGTTAGCCTGGGATGTTACATGAACCCTTGACCTCCTAGGAGGCTTGTAACCCGGGTCCCGCTAGGCCAATGGCACTTTAGTGAAAATCAATATTAAATGCAATAATAACATTGAGTACAATTTCAACTGGAGTATAAATCTTACCTGCAATTTACGTTTAATACCACGTTGTACGACTCGGTTGCCACACTGTTTATTGCAGCCACACTTCAACCAGCATTCCTTAATGAAACTCCTCACAGAGTGACCTTTGCATGGCTCGATAATCTCCTCGTTTTTCGATCTTTCTAGAGGACATTCCTTGCAGTAAAACAGACAGTGCTTTTGAGGATCACGATTCATTTTTATACACTCATCCAAAAGCTCCTCCTTGACAAGGCCGTCGATTGTATATGCAAATTCACCCCCAGATTGCAGTGCACAAGCACAAACTGTTGATGATTTCAGACAATCGCCAAAACAAGTAGAACAACAATTGTCATCCCCAATACGAGCAAGTGAAAAGTTAACATAAGCATTCTGGAAAACTGCATTTTGGGGAATGTAATGGAATGATGGAGGACACTCATTGTTGACTTCGTTTACCAATGAAATTATCACTGATTCTTGTCCTTTGGCTATGTCATTGGCATCATGGAGTGACCTTATGTCATCAGCAATCAACTGATTATTGGACACCATCGTCAAATTTTGTAGCTCTGAATCTTGAATCCCATTCTGCTCTATGTGCATGTCATTTTCACAATCATCTCCAGCATTATCAACACCTTGAATGCCATTCTGCACTATGGCAGGTTGAAAAGCGTCATCAACACCTTTGCAAGGTGGAAGACACCCCCCATCCTCACCTTCATTGCCGACTGAGCCATCGGCATTGGGCGGCACATCTTTTCTTCCGTCATCCACTGCACATGATGTTCCCAATGAACCATTAGGTGGTGTAGAGCCAGTTTCATCATCCAAAAGACATTCACACATATCTTTCATCAGTTTCTTCATGGAAAAGTTTGGGTCCAAGACTTTGTACGATTTAAGACATTTATCTTCCATTGTTTTTAACAGAGAATCGACATCTGTGACAGATAAGTTTGTTTTTCCCAAGGAGTTGCAGCTCAAAGAAATCTTGATTTCCCCAGAGGATGAGGAAGCGATTTCTAATTTTGCTGTCGATTCAACAGGGACCATTGCAAGCTCTCGATCACTTGTTTCATTTGATGCAGCTAGAGCATGGGTGCTTAGATCTTTGTTCCCAGCAGATTGAGATGTTAAGAGCTGAGATCCATCTCTGACCAGTTCGGTAGAATCTCCATTGTTCATTGATTCTGTAAGTTTCAAGAAAACAAATTCTTACATAAATACTAAAAGCTTACATTATCTATAAAGATGCTAAACAACAAAATATCTCAAAATTCACAACCAATGCAGGCAAATGTTAATCTCAGCTACTTGAGATAAAGAATTCAAAAACTAGTAACCAGATAGGTTACTACACCTTAAAAGACATTATATCGTCATTCTTGAATGACAGTCATAATAGGATATGGGTATACACAAAACTATTAAACTGCATGATCAGCAATAAGAAAACAAGTCAATCAGAATACACATGTATATCACACGTTATGATTACAAAATAATCAACCTCCTGTTTCACCGGCAAAATCATGAAGGGGAATACAATAATTTTTTATCAAATAAATTGGCAACAGAGCATGCTTAGGGCATCCAAATGCCAACATTTTAAAAGGTCACAAAACAAGCTGAGCTCAACAAACAATGGCTGAAATTTTAGAAACTATCAACACTCTAACCCCCATGAAGAGAGTTTTCCAGTAGAATAAAGGGAGAAATGTGGGCTCATACACCAAATTACCGAGGTCAAGGGAGAAAATGTTGGTGATTTTAGTGTCACCGTTTTCATTTGGTATAATGGGTAAATAAACGAGAGCTAAAGGGGATCTTTACTTAGTTTTTAATGCAAGTTAGGAGGTGCGAAACGCACACTTGTATAAGACTAGATTGATCCCAATACGACAAAAAGGCGGGGGTCAAGGGGGCCGCGCCCCCCTTGCTGGGTCCCAGGTGCAGCGCCCCTGGCAGGGTCCAAAATTTAGTTCCTAACGGAGGTTTTGGATCTGTAACCTTCTCATAACTGTCTTTGGTCCTATCCTCATCCATTTATGGATTTAAATTTGTTTTTTGGCTCGAGTCTAAGGATTCGGAATATTCAAAACCTACCGTAACATAATCTAATTTCTGTGCCTAATAAATTAGATTGTTCCTTCTTGGATTATCCCATATTCAGAATTTCATGCACCCCAAGGCTATAGGGTCGAAATATCTGATTCGGAAAGTGATATACACGATCCAAGCAAGAATCCAAGCAATTGTGATTTCAGAAAACCACCCTATTGTTCATTTACCTCAATAAAAAATGCTATGATTCCATGAGATAATAGATGTTCATAAAATCTTACATTAATCATATGACTGAGGACATCGTGTTTAACCAAAACCCTTAGTTGATTGCAAGGATCCTTAATGTGGCCAATATGTAGAATGAACTGGAAGTACTATATATAAAGCAATGTACGTGTAAGCATTTCAAGAGCGTTGTCTCCTTGTATGAATCATATTAAGCTGTACATTGAGATAATTATCATGGTAGCTTAAGCTCCAGTGAACACTCATGTAGGAAGAGAAAAGAACAAAAGGAAGTTGATAGGTACAGCCACTAGTGGTATAATGGAGGTTCCAAATTCAAGATAGTGAATAGAACCCACATTTATGGGTAGACCATATTCACAAGGAACATGGTGTTTGACACAAACTTCCATCTCCAGCTTCCTTCCCACACACCCACAGGTCAGAGGATACATGCACATAGGAATTCAGGACCTGGTAGAACTGTGATTTAGAGTTTACCTTTGGATGCATATAAAAATGGTAAGTATTGGAATGCAAACATGACCACACGGCTAATCTATGGTAGATGCCAAGTCCCATCTATTTTAGGAACATGAGCACATGACCCTGTCAGTCACTTCCACTAGTAGGTAAAAACACTTTTGTTAAGTAGTCGAGTCCTGGCGATGCACTGCAGCCACTAGGAAAACAAAAATACTACACTGTGTCGTATACGTTGCAAACAGGAATTGCCAATTATTGACACAAAATTTTGAATCCAAGTAGAGCTTTTTCAGTTACTTTTGGGGTGAACATGAAATAAACTCCTCTAAGAATATTGTTCACAAATAACTGGAAATGGTACAGTTACAATATATGGCTTCACTCTAAATTAGCTAAAACCCCTGAACATGAATGCATGTTCCAAGATTTGGATATAAGAAAATTGTGAAAGCATTTGGCATAAAACCAAAGCAGGCCACTTGGAGTTGCTTATATGAACCTCTGTCTCAACATTGCAGTAAGCTACTCTAATTTAGTATTGTTGACTGATATCTGTTTCAATCACATGTAAGCTTATGACAAATCATGCATATTTCAACAAGATTCCAGTTTCCAACAGGTCCTCCTGTAGAATCTAGCAAATAATTGATTTCACGGACATGGTTACTGCAGGGATCATAGCAACACCTCACACTAACACATTATTAAAAAGAAATAAGAAGTACCTGGCCTAATCACTGAAAGAGGCACCACACGTGGTGAGGAGTCATCTGTGACTGGTTCATCTTTGGGCTTTTTTAATGCAAGAGTGCTTTGTTTGGGAAACTGTTTAGGTTTTGGCTCTTTAAAGCGCACTCCATGGGATGGCCTATCAGAAATTGACCTCTTTTCTCGAGGATCAGTTTGAGGTGAAAGAGGTTCTTTCCCTTTGTCTCTCAGATGTCTTGGACGGAGAGCTGAATCAGATCCAGATTCATTTGCGACATCTGGTTGGGTTCTCTCAGCATCTCCCAGATGATGTGGTGCCAAAGTGTTGGCTAAAACAGGTGTCTTCCCCTTGTTGCTACCATGTGCTTGGGGTGAAACAGGTTGGGATTCATTCCTTGTTACTGGCTCCCCTGCTGAAGTTTTAGCCTGTGCTCGAGACTGAGACTTAGGTATAGCATAAGGAAGATCATCAATCTCCAACTTCGGCACCTTCAGTGGTGTTTCACGTGAATTAGGGCTAGAGCTGATGCAAGAGGGTGAAGCTTGTCCATCTTGGTGCCTTAACCGCAGCCGCTTTAAAGGCCGTTCTGGCTCTTCAGGAATTTGTGTTTCTTCTTCAATAACTTTCATTCGCTGGTAATGAAGAGTGATGCCAAGAAAGCAAAAACAAAGAAAATATCATGTTAAAGGTACATGTATCAAAAATATTATACTCCTGAATCACATTCACATATATTACATACTTCAGCTTGCTCAAGTTTCTTTTTCTGCTCTGCTGCCTGAAAGATGATACCAATCAGAAAGAAAGAAAAGAGAGGTAAATTAGATACACATGCAACAAACACAACAGCAGTAAGATGGTACAGCCCTGAAGGTGCATTTGGTAGTGGACAGGACAGAACAAAACGGAACAACGTCTCACGTTTGGCAGGACTTTTATGTGGAACAGATAAAAACAGAGTAGAACAAAGTGGACCAAGCATATTCCATCCCCACCCCATGGAAGTTGGAACAAGGTGGAACAGAACTATATTTTACAAATATAACCTCAAATAAAACATAATTTTCTTCTAAAACATTAAATCTGCCTCCCTCTTTACATTTTATTCATTATTTAAATTTTATTTACTGTAATTCTATGTTCTTTAAACTTTCACATTACTGTTCTCAAAATATTATCTTATACGATTTATATATTTGGGTTAGTTTATGTAATTTATTACATATTAAAAACAAAAAGGTATTATAGAAAAGTTATAATATAGAAATTGGAAACTACCATGAACTTTTTATTTTGGTGTCACTTTAATCGTCCGGACGAAAAATTTGTAATGATATATTTTGTTAAAAATATTTATTTTATTATAATTTAATAAATTACATAAATTAATCAAAATATATAAAAGATGTAAGCAGCTCATTAGGGGTAAATTGGTCATTTTATCTCTCCAATTCTGTTTTACCAACGTTGAACAGTTGTTCTGTCCTGTTCTATTCAGTCCTGCCTGTCTGGATACCAAACGCACCCTGAGTGACATCTACTTACTTCAGCTTCAGCATTCTCACGCTTTTTCTTCTCTTCCTCAGCCTGGAAATAATACCCGTGAGGAATTTGAAAATAATAGAGATGCATAAAAAAAATAGTGATAATGATAGCAATGAATTTGGTGACATAATCAGAAATGAAATAGCATACCTCTGCCTCGTCACTGTCAAATATAGCATCTGCAAGAACTCTATAATTTTCCTCTTCAATATGTCCCCAATTTTTGTCATAGGTTTTTAGAAGCCTCTTTAACACAGGTTTTGTTTTCTCTTCAGGAATCCCAAGCTCTCTCATAGCACGGAAGGCTTTTGCAACCCTTGGATTGGGAGCCATCACGAGTTTTGCAGGTTTACCTACAAAGGATTCAGACTATCCAATACACCTGTAGAATTTCTAGAGTTGTGAGGGAGCATGATATTTACCGAAACTAAAAATGGGTAGTGCAAGACCATATTGTGATGTGAATTATGCTACAATTTGTTCATATAAACACCGGAAAGCTATAAACTTTATCCTCAAGAAGTTAGGTGCCTAAACTGAAATTACTACTAGTTAATATTCTATAAACCTTGATCAATCGAGTACTCAACCAAAACTACATGGTCATTTCGGATGATGATATATAACAAAGAAGGAAACCCATGACGAGGAGTGCACAAGGGTTATAAAGGCAAAGATTGCGTACTAGTGTTATAAAGAAAAAGTTTGCTTTGTGTCATGTGTATTTTACTTGTAGATCAGGAGATAGAAATTATAATATAAGTTTTTTTGACATTCTTTTGAATGAAGAAGAAATAACTAGCTAGCAAGGGAAATCACGAAGATAAGACCTGAAGTCTTTCAACCTACTTGGATGTAATTACACAATCTGAGAACTTAAAGAATAAAAGGAAGTACTGGATAGCTATTAACCCCAATGCAAATCTAATTTCAAATCATCAAAGAGGAAAAACACCATAGAACTTAACCTACAGGAATCAACAGTTTATAAAAACATCTCATGGGAAGAATCCTAGCTCTTTTTACAAAAGCACAGTCCTCAATCTCAACAAAATACCGATCTGTCTATGCATGCCTAACATAAGACTCCATGCCATGTCCTCCACATACGAGCAGACCATATCATTCAAGGGAAAGGGGTAAAATAAGCATGTAAAACTGAGAACAAACTATGTAACTGAACAACATAGAGAAGTACAGAACATTTCAACTTGCTAGCAGCTGAATGTATAAACTTCGAATTGCAAAAGAAAACATTAGTTATTAACATTTCATCCATGCTGCAACCAAAAGTATCTTTTAACACATGCCACATATTTTAAGTACTCTCCATCCTTCGAAGTCTCAACTCTGGAAACAAACGGACAAGCACTAACCCTGCCCATAGTGGGGTAAAGAAAGAAACATGAAAGAGTAATATAATAAGTTCACTAACATAACCAATACCACCTCACCAGCTTTAACTTTCAAGAACAGCTAAGACCAGAGAAGACAGAGATAATATTTGTGGGTGTTCATTGTCCTCGTAAGTTTCCAGATGGACTCCGCCAAGGGAAAGAAGTTCGTTAAACAGAGGGAGAAAAATATAAGAGATCAAGCAGATGAATACTGAAAATACCAAAGACGGTTCAAGAGTAACTGATTAAAAAAATAAACACAAAATGTGAACAGTCACAAAAGCAATGGTAATTTGTAAGAGACGCTTCTAGATCTGAATGTATCGGGACACAAAGTGAGACCCTAGTGCCAGAAACCTCAACCAACCCAAAAGAGGGCAATCCAATATAAGTTCCCTTTCTGGAGAGAGAAAAAACTGCTTCACAATTGCAATATAACTCTATTTTGCAACTAATAAACACCGGATGGGTTTATTTGATCACAATGGTGTTACTATTATGAACCATCGCTTAAATTCCTTAAACTTGACCAGCCTAGCATACTTCCGTGGGTTCCTAATAAAATGGACTAGACATTAGACAACATAGCCTTAAACAAGCATTAAAGGAATAAACAGTTTTCACCTCTGTTCTACAATCCCCAACTCCAAGAGGTATGCTATGAGAAATGAATTAGTAACGATCACCGTACCATGTAAAGCCCCCTGCAGATCAATTTATACCTATAAACCTGATATTTTTACAGGTAATAGAAATCATAAATGTGAGAATCAGTGAACTGACTTCCACCTATGGTATGTTTGGCAAACTAGCTTATAAGCTAGGTGTTGGCTGAAAAGCTAATCATGTTTGATAAAAAGTAGTAATCTAAAATGACCTAAAAGAAATTTTAAAAAGGGCACTTATGTCAAATATGAAGGGCATAACTGAAAGAAGCAAGAAAAAGGTGAAAAGAAAAGGTTCATATATGCTATTTGAGGTATTTTACAAAAAACAAGCTTATGGCTTAAGAAAAGGGACTTTTTCATTAAGCTCAAAAAATAAGCTAGCTTATGTTTAAGATTGGTATTTATCAGTATCTTCTCCTACAGCCTAAGGGAAATGAGTCCAATTTAGACTTGATACACATTACATCAAGAAAAAATATATCATGTAATGAAAATAGAATAATGTCAGCTTTAATTTTATATATATATATATATATATATATATATATATATATATCAACATTTCGGAAGAATCAAGTTTCCATCAAGAATGAAAATTTCTAAATTGGAAGTAGTAACTTTGTTGCTTAATAGAACTTCACATACCATGAGTTAGAAAATAATGTAAACAAAAAATTTAAAAATTAGATGAACCCAAAAACAGTGATTTTCTGTTCACATATCATCGCAAAAATTAGCAAAATAATTGAACCTCAAGTCATCTTCCTCATTATCTTGTGTTTATTATAATTTACAAACACATTAACCTAACCCGAACACAAAAACCCCATTATTGCTGGAAAAAATCAAACCAGTAGCTTCGATGAGCGGGAAACGAACAGCAAAGGAACAATGTCAAATCCACTAACACGAAAACACTTAAAATTGACTAAAGCTGCTAAAACCCACAAGAAACATCGATTATAACGCATATAACTAAGATCAAACGGTGAACATGCAAAACCAACATCAAAAAGATCGATAGAAACCACAAAATCACAAGCATTACTGAAATTAAGATTCAATGTGTTCGCATTTCCTTACCAACAGCGTCTAATTTTGCAGCGAGCTCGATGGAGAAAGGAGACACTCTCTGTGTGTTGTAGGGCACAGATAAAGTGGAGGAGGGTTGGTAGGGCATGTTTACAGAAATTGGAAAACCTCCGTTTCAAAAGGCACGGAAGATTTGATGTTTACATTTTAGCCCCTTTGGGGGTTAATTGTACAATGAAAATAGTATAAGGGGGTCAAATGAAAAATGGAAGGAATTGAGTGCAATTATGGACTGATTGGTAGTTGCTGAATGGTTTGTCCTGTAATGATTAAGTGGTCATAATAATTAAGAGACCCTTATTATATAGTGCAAAATAAAATATAATTGTTTGGTAATTATTTTCAATGAAATTAGATAGTTGAATGGTTAAGAGAGACCCATGATATAAAATCATACAGAGGGTTTTAAAACCATTAAAAGACAAACTTTTTTTGTCTAACAAGATTCAACTCTTAACGATTCAGATACTGCCTCTTTAAAGAATTATTAGAAGGATATTCACGCAATGCAGCGAGATATATCTCGATTTCAATGTTTCATTTTATTTTTTTGGTCTTTGTCGATATAATACGAATTTATGTTGTTTTGAGTAAGCAATAATATTTTTCTTAATAAAATATATATTTGAAGATATCATAAAAGTTTATATATATATATATATATATATAAGTTCTCATTTTTTGTGTAATTTCTTTAATTCAATTTTTTGGTTGCAATTTAATTAGGTTTAATGAATAAATAATTTATTTTTGGTTTAGTAATATAATTTTTATGAACATAATAACTAAGTATTCTGTTAGAACTCAATAATTATTCTAATTATATTTTTTAGATTTTATATTTAAAATGAGAATTTTATCATGTACTTGATTATATTTACCTACATTTAGTTACACAAATTCAAACATGGAGCTTAATAACTTCTACTTACGTACAATTTACTTGTAATGTTGAATTTTAAGTATTATGCATCAATAAACAATAATTCGTGTATAAAATATTATTTTTAAGAGTTTTTATCAAATAGTTTATAATATAACTAGAAGMGTACTCGCGCAATGCAGCGAGATACATCGTGTTTTTAATATTTCATTTTATTCTTTATCTCAGTCGATGTGATAATATGGCTTTATGTGATTTTGAGAAAGCGATGATGTTTTTATTTTTGAATAAAATATATGTTTGACGATATCATAAAAATTTTACAAAAATATATCGATATTA